GACATAAATTTGATGTTTTTTTGAAAAAAAAAATAATAAATAAATAAATAAAATGAATATTATTTAATATTTAGTAGGCTAGTAAAATTTCTAATTCAGAGGGATCGATTACCTAAATTGTTATTGTTTTATTTTATGCGTGACTTTAGATCAGCCAATTGGTCCGCAAATTTCAGATTTATTTTGACTGTTACAAACATATGCACAAAGACATAATATCCTGTACCACAGAGTGGTGAAAGTTATAAAAATGGTTGCGGGTCGAAAAAATGTCCCCTCACTCCTATACCAATTCATCAGAATTTTGTAATATTTTTACCATATCCCAATAAAATTTTTAAAAATAATAAAGTTTATAAAGCTCAAAATGAGTCCCCGAATTGGTTCCAACTTTGCAGGTCAGGTTCGACGGGCCAATATTATGAGAAATACCATTTCAGATTATGAATGGATAAATGCCTTACTTACAGAAAAGAAAGGGAGAAAAAAATCCATTATTTTTATATGAACTATAGGACTTTATTTAATGTCCGATTTGGGCCAAATATGTATGATTTGTTGTCATTTTAAAGTTCATAATGCCTCTCTCATAGAAGTCCTGCTCTCTACTTGCAAAAATAATTTTTTTATTGTTAAAAAAATTTTGCAATGCAAGAAAAATATGATAATCGCTTGGTGCCAAGTCCGAAGTCAAACGGTCCATATGGAAGCAACTCACAATAAATAATCCCCTTCCAGTCCCACCAAATGCATAGCAGAACCATTCTGGCCGTAAGTCCTGGTTTGACCACCGTTTGAGGTGCTTCACCGCTCTTTGATCACGATCGTTTTCGCACAGGGTTATATCGTATATGATCCATTTCTCATCTCCAGTCACCAATTATTTAAGAAATGGGTCATCTCATTCCGTTTTTCTGTTATTTGATGTGGCACCCAAACATCGAGCATCGTTTTTAATTCAGATTTGTGTAAATGGATCAAAACAGTTTTTTAGTCCATTTTTAGCTCCTGGGCGATGTTACGACTGCTAACATGCCGGTTAACTTCGGTAATTTTTCCGATTTTATCGACATTTTCGATGACCTGCCTAATGGATTTCTTGTTTCTCAACCTAATATATATGCCAATAAGGCAACCCAGAAATATAGTTCGGAATTTGTGTACCTTTAATAGGAGATACTGATGCCTTTCGATTTTTTTAAAAATAATCTCCCCGATTATTTCACTAATAAACGGTATTATATCAATTTTAAACTGGGAAGTTTTCTTTCGACAAATCTTAACTATATTGTAAACATAAATAAATACGGGTGCTTTACTAAAAATAACAAATGATGTTATCTATTTTCTACATTAACTCTACTTGACATAATTATATTTGAAGAAAAAATGCAGGGTTCTTCGATTGCAAGAAAGTTGTTTCTCCACAGACAGACCTTTCTAATTGGCCGCATAACTTGATGACTTTTCTACAAAAACAAAAACCCCGTTAAGATAGCCTTCTTGTACATATTAAATATAGGTTTGGTTCGTTGTTTGGCTCTTTGGTATTTCTGTGTACGCCTTGGGTTGGAATTATTTCCCTACTTTGTTGTTGGTGTTGTTTGTTTTCACCCGGGTTGCATGGTTGGACGTTCTGTGCAGGAAATGTCTGCGGTCTAAAATTAGGAATTAGCAATTCTTAGATAGCAAAGCATTCTTGGCTGTGATAAGAAGTGTGTATATTTTTGATGTTGTTGTTATTGTTGTTCTTGGTTTTCTTTTTTGCATACTCTTTTGTGTTAATTATGGAACGTGTAGTGCGAATGTGTGCTAATAAACATTAATATGGCATAATTTTTCGAAATTCCAAGAAGTAGGGAAATAATCATAAATCGAAAACGTAAGCCATTAGAAATAGAATTTCATTGATATCAGCAGGTCAATTAACAATGAAATATATTCGAAATTGTAGGTATAAGAAACTGTATTTGAATCGTTAATGTAACATATTGTTCAAAAGATGTATATTTTTTTAAATAGTGATCTTAACAATGATGAAATTAAATTATAATTAATGGCCACCTTAGGTGGACTCTTAACATATAACTCATTTAATTCATGTCTGTACATATGTGTGTACATTTATATTTATAATTTTATCTATATTTTATTTAAACATTGCTAATGATGTTTTTCGTTGGTTTTTAATTTAAACACCTCAATGCTTTTTAAGGGAACCCCCCCCCATTCTCGATTTTTTATTTTTAAGATTTTAAATGGGCTTGTTAAGGTTTGTAACTTGGCACATATATATTTGAAGATTTAAAAAGGAAGAAAAATAATTTACCAAAATTTGTTGTTGTTGTTTTTGGGGTTCAAAGAAAAGTCCATATTTTCGATGGCGGGCATGATAACTCCTCACTGGAACATCGGAATCCGAAAATTCCAACTGTGTTAGAAAGAGGACATGTCTGGCTCTCGTATGAACTAGGATTATTGACTTCGCACAACAATTAACAAAATGGCGGAACTTTGAAAATTTTTTTATGGAAAATCGCCTATTTTTTACCACAAACTAATTTAAAAAATAAGGAAGATCTTCACCGATTGGCTTTATCCTAGTTCATACGAGAGCTACACACTCCCAGAGAAACGTGACAAAATTTGAAACCGATTGGATTATTAGTTTTTGAGTTATCGTGCCCGCCATTCGTTTTGAGAAAAACGCGTTTAAATTTTGAGAAGTCCTTTAGCCGTCACTTGATGCTGCACAATAAATCGGCTATATCTTCAAGAGTTCTTGAGATTTTCACTTGAAATTTTGTAGGAACATTCTAGAATTAGAGTAGATTCGAATTAAATCAAAAAAAATTTTGACACCGAGAATGGGGGGGGTCCCCTTAAGTGGATTTTTCACACCCCATTAAAATGCATTTCCTTTGTGAATGAATCTCAACACAGATCCACGGGTATTACGATAATTGTGAAAATGTTTTTTATTTTTTTTTGTCTAATGTAATAATTTATTGTTGTATTTATTTAAGTTCATAACTGTATTATGTGAACCATTAAAAAAGCATCACATGAAGAATAACAGCTCTTAAATAGTGATCACGATCATTAAACGTTAACCCTATAAAAAAAGACAGCGGTGGCCTATTAAATTATTTTCTATTGGATTTTCACCGTTGGTTATAATAAAGGCATATTAATGATAATTTGTTAAGCCTCATGTGAGAATTTAATAAAACTGGCTATAATGTCATTTCGGCTTGGGTTTTAAGAATTAAAAAAATAAATAAATAAATAAAAAAATAATATAATATTTACGTTAGCTTTCAAGACCTACTATCCCAATAGAGGAGTATTTTTGAGTATTTGAGTATTATGAGTATGTTTTTGTAATTGTAAACAAAGTTGAAAATAATTGTAAAACAAAATCATATTGAGCAGACATTGGCATCTGATAAAAATAATAAATTCATTAGGACGTTCGTGGAAAATGTCGATAAAATCGGAGAAATGATCGAAGTTGACCGACATCTTAGCAATCGTAACATCGCCCAGGAGCTAAACATTGGCCATAAACCTGTTTTAAACCGTTTACACAAAGCTGGATTCAAAAATAAGCTCTATGTTTGGTTGCCACACCAATTAACAGAAAAAATAGGATGGATCGAATTTTTATCTGCGAAGCCTAGGCCAAACGGATGGTGACTGGAGATGAGAAATGGATCACATACGATATAACCCTGTGCGAAAACGATCGTGGTCGTAGATCGGTGAAGCAACTCAAACGGTGGCCAAATCAGGACTAACGGCCAGGAAGGTTCTGCTATGCATTTGGTGGGACTGGAAGGGGATTATTTATTATGTGTTGCTTCCATATGGTTAAACGGTAAATTCTGATCTCTACTGTCAACAAACAAGCGATTACCATTTTATCCTGCATTGCAAAATTTCTTTAATGATAAAAAATTGGTATCTAGGGTATCGACTTGGTATCGACTACTAGAGTTTTTTTGCAAATAGAGAGCAGGACTTCTGTGAGTGGGCATTATGAAGTTACTTTTAAAATGGCAATTTGTTGCAATTTTAAACACAATACAACAAAACGGTGCATATTTGGCACAAATCGGACATTCCGAAGCATGTTAAATAAAGTCCTATAGTTCATATAAACGAATATATATCCAATCGAAATATAATGTATTGCTATGTAGCAAGATCCATTTAGATAGGGATTTTTGTCGTTTTCGCCATTAAAGGGATGCCCTCCCTTCTCAGTTTCAGAAAATGTAATATTTTTATACCTTCAGCCTTGTGGCAAATTATGGTATATACACACTAATATGCCTAATATGCCATTACTGTGCCTAGATCAAGTCCGAATGTGGGGCCCGTCTGCCCTCTCTTCTAGTACCTCCCCCAAACTTGTTTAAAGCGAATTGAATAAACAATTAAATTCGAAAGCTTTTTAATAATGATTCAATTCAAATCGTGATTTGATTCAATTCAAATCATATTAAGATATGTGCCCTAGAGACATATAGTGAAGAGAGCAGGGGACTTCTTTAATATAATGTAAATTTAGGTCAACTAATTGTAATTCACTTATAATTTATATTCGATTTGCGATCGATGTTAGACTTTTTATTAAATGCTGGCTGGCATATATTTTGAAATAGCACGTCAAACTGTCCGCATTTCCAAGAGATAAGCTGCATTTTCTACAATTTAATTTGGTATTACAGGTTCTTGGAGGGTGAAAATATATTTCCACACAGTTTGGTCGAACTTTTAAGCAATTTTGAATGCAGACTTCAAGATGAAGGATATAAAGAGTTCGGCGTTGCCGAGCTTTACTTCCAATTTTTACTTCTTTTAATATATGTACGTTAGATTAAGTGTAGATATAAAAACGTTTTCCTAAAAAATAATTACTTAAGAAATATATATTACATATATAACGTATTTTGTAAATTGAAATTTAATTTTGTTATTCATTTTCTTTACAGAGGAACAAGAACGTGTCCAAAAGAAAACATTCACTAATTGGATTAATTCATACCTCTTGAAGGTAAGTAAAACAAGATTTATTATTTAAAAACCAAACCAAAAAAATAATATTTATACCCTACACATCTATGTCGTCAGGGTAGTATAGCTTTGTTTTTCATATAAAATAATTTAAGGTCTCGACTGTTTTGAGTCGTATTTTTAATAACAATAATTTCATAGGTTATCTTGGTTTGAAGATTTCTCTTAGTATAAATAATTCAGACTATCTATCTAAGCTGCATAAAAAACATAGTCGTATGATTTTAATATAATTCAATATTCTAAGCAAAAAATACCATTCCAATTGATATAAAAATCCTTATATAATTGGATTTCCAATTAATTTCGATTTTTTCCCAGTATCTTTAACATGCATTGTCTGAATAATTAGCCATAACATTTTATGTCCATTTTTTATGGATCATTTCTTCATAGCCATATGTTTTTTTTTGGTTGATTTTCCAAAATTCATCACATCATTGAATGTGATAACTTTTTATTTTTCCTTTCGATCATATGTTACTCATCATACTCGTATTGTTGTTGTTGTTGCTGCGCATCTAAAAATAGTTTGAAAATTCTGGCATTTGCCATTTCGTGTAAACATTCTGTTAATAATAAATCTGTGTTGCCAATTTTGTTCAGATTTCGTAGGAAGTGAAATATTATTCACATTGTTTACATAGAATATACGAATATAGCCGATGGAGACTACGGGGGGTCGTAACTCATAACTTAGACGTCTGCAAAGTGATGGATATACTCAATGCTGAAAATGACGTTGTGATTCAGATGAATTATTTCATCCTTAACATAATATTTATTTGGTATATGTGTATTTTGTACTCAAAGGAATATTGATGAAAGTATTTTTTGTTTTTGGGGAATAATTTCGTTGAAAGATTATAAATAAATAAAAAATTGTTAATACATTTAACCATATATATAATATATTTTTAGATATGGGGACCATGAATGTTCAAATTGATTAATGGAAAAATTACTAAAGTAGCAGCATTAAAAATGTTTATAAGAAATTTCCATATTTTAATATATGGGGTTTTGAAAATTTATATTATATTTCCCATTACCTATGAGTTACTTAATTAATTTTGATCATAACAAAACACCTCAATAAACATGTATTGCAATTCAGCAAAAATAGACATTTTTTGAATTTAAAAATAGCAAAACAAATATTGTTTATTATTATGGTTATTTGTGAAATCAAAATTTTTTCTCAGTTCTATTTCAAAAGACTTGCGTCAGACCTAAATCTAGAGATGAGGAAAATGTCAAGAATTTGTCTCAACAGATGCGATTTTCTTTTCTTTTTTTGTTTTGGTAAATATTTATAATTTGTTATCTTTAGAAAATGGTGTGATAAGTCAATGACATAACAGACGGAATGATTAATGGCCCCTTCGGTTATTTTCCTGTTCATGGCGCGGCTATAGCATTATGATTTGCATTGCGTCAAAATAATTATATCGTCGGTTGGAAATGAGGTGCGATATTGTTTATGTTCTAATTTGTATCAGGTACATTGTTTGTTAGAAATGTATTTGAAATGTTAATAATCATTAAATAACATTTTTTAACATTTAGAAGGGAAATGGTCATAATATTTTTCGGTGTTTTGAAGATGAACTGTCCATGACAGCTGAGACATCTGCAGTGTGATGATACACCATTTTTTGAAGTGTATTTGACATTATGTTTATCATGCCTCAAAATATGCGTCGGAGACTGGTGGCCAAAACTTAAGCAACATAAATTTCAAGGCTAATAAATGCCGCATAACTTTTTCAAAACCAAAGATGGTTTTTTCATGTTGGTTTTTTCAGTTTTAATTCGGATACTTTCTTCGCTTTTAGAAAAACAAAAGCATTAATGCAAAATTCATTATGAAATAAATAATAATTTAAGGATAAGGAAATTTTTGCTTGGACAAAACTAAAGCAACTCTAAAGTAAAAACAGCTGAACTCTGAAATGTTTGTTATTTTTACCGTTATTATTATTGACTTACTGCCAAAAAAATATAAAATCGCTAAAGAAAAATACAGTACTCCGATAAAACAGCTAATTACCAGTAAAAATAATTTATCACTGAAAATGATTTCGGAGAAATATTCCATGAATAAGTCAGTGATTTCTCGAATTATAAGTTGATGTTATGCAACTATATCAGTAGCGACAGTTCAGCACGGAGGAAGACTGCAAAAGAACATCAGTTCGTACTGATCAACAAATTGTCGGAGAAGTTAAAAATACCCATTTAAGAGTTCAACGGAATTTTTGAGGCATACATGCCCGGAAACCATCAAGAAAGCCCATTTATTTCTGTAAAGAATCGAAAAGCAAGATTGCCTTACCCAAAAGCTCATATTAATTGGAATCCGACTCAGAGGAGACATATTATTTTCTCGGGTGAATTAAAGTTTAATAACATTAACTTTTAACGGACTCAGACATGAAAAAATTACTCGTGTCACAGTATTGCAAGGGTACTTGCAAGTATGTAGCTGGATCAATAATGGTATTGACCTATTTTTTATTAACGATATATATATATATATATATATTTATACCATATATATGAATTAATGGCTCGGATTGTTTATACAAATGTGTTGGAAAAAGCTATGGTTCCCTTCGATGACAAAAATATATCGCTTGTTTGGGTGTTTCAGCTTGACAGTAACCAAACATGTCAAAAAATCGGGGTTTTATAATGGCCAACACAATCATCAGATCTTTACCCTATAGAAACATCTTTGGAGCATCATAGATAGCATAAAAAGCAAAAAAAAAGTTTCATAAACAAATATACATAACCTCTTTCCAAAGGTTCAGGATGCAAGGAGTAGTATAGCCAAGGATCAAATAGAGCATTTTATTGATTCAGTACGTCGTAGTTGTGCTGCCGTAATAAAAAATTTGCTTTTTTATAAGAAAAAAAAATCAAAAAGTTGCTTTAGTTTTGACCAATCAAAAATCGGGTTAATCTAGTTTTCCATAGAATATTTTTGCTTTTGTATTTTTTGTTTTATTTTTAAGTTTATAAATTACCTATATATTTCTGAAAAAAACGTTCACTTAAACTTTATTTTTAAAAAGGCTACAAGTCATTTATTCAGTTTGTAATTTCAGTTGCTTTAGTTTTGACCATCAGTGTATTGGTGCACGTTTTTAATGTAGAATCTTCCGATTTTTTTTATTTTGTTAAAAACTGGAGAGGCTGTCACTTTTGCACTCAGCGCTATTGGATGATGAAAAAAATCGTCAATATTGGTCAATATTTTCCCTTAAACGTTATACCCCATTTAATGGATCTTGGTGAATAAAAACTTTGCAATTTTCACTATGTTTAAGGTCCAAATCCAACCAAAGTGCCTCTTATTGAAAAATGTCGTTTTCTTGGGAATAGAAACAAACTTAATACTTAAAACATATAATTTCCATTTTTCGGCACAGACCCCTAGGTTTCGTATCGAGTTTTTAGGGGGGTTCCCACCGTATGGTGTAGGGTATAAAATGTTCGGCTGGTCGAATTTAACGATACTTTTATTTTTTCTTTTGAAGAGTGACATTGAGCGACTGTTTGCCAAATATTTTTTTCAATATTTGCAAAGAGTTTAAAATGTCATTATTTTCATTATAAAATATACAAATTAAAAATATATATCTGAATTTAAATGCTTTCACTTTTCACCGTTTTCATATATATTTATGTTTGTATGCATGTCTGCAGATATATTTTTTTATATAAATTATGTCTTGTTTTTCTAATGAAGAAATCGGTAATTAATTTTATTAAAATGGTTTGTCTTTCGTATATCATTGTCATGACATTGATGGTTACGGTCGGCTAAACGAATGTCATTAAAAAAATGCGGATGCCAAATCAAAAGTGCGGGGTCTTTCTTTCAAAAATGCAATTCGTATTCCTTCAAAGTTGTCTGTGATAAAATGTTGGGGTTGGAATCAACAAACGAAATGTTTATCTATTATATAAGATATGAACATACCAAAAAGGATTTTCGATATTCTTATCACATGATTGCGGTGTTGTATACAAACAAAAATGACACTTGTATGTGTGGTGTTAATTGCACTCAACAAATTACTTAAATATTTTGTGCAATCTGTTTTTTGTGAATTTATATAAACGGCGTCGTTACCCCTATATATATATGTATATATATATTTGTGTGTTTTGTTATCTTTTTATTGAGAGTACCAAATAAAAAAACTGTGTGTTTGCATAGATAATAAAATTGTTAAATGTGTCATTGCAATTATGTGAATTATTTTACGATAAACAGGTGTATCTTCTTGTGGCAAAAATATCTGCTCAGCGAATAAACGTTTTCACTTTTTATAACCCAAAAAGGGAACGAGATAATGTTTAACTTTTTTAAGTTTACTTATGAAGCTCTAATCACACAGCAATTCAGTCAATTTTCGAAATAATATCCTCAATAACGATGAAGCAATTAGGACTAATTTCAAGGACAAATTCCACTGTACACAATTTTTAGCAAATAATTATTTTTACTTACAATATTATTTTTAAGACAAGCTTACAATTTTTTTATTTATTTATTTTTATTATCAATTTTTAATGGGTAACCATTTCCACATTTCCAATGTGAAAATTGTTGCATTTGTAAATGTATTTTGTGCATATCCTCCTCATTTTCCATTGAAGCTGATTGCTAATAAATAAATCATCTAGATGACAGCTCTAATGCCCTCTAATGTCACATGGTGAGCGAAAAAGCATCTAAATCAATTTATTTAAAAAAAGAACACAAATTCTATTTTTTAAGTCCCAGGTGATGATAATTGTCGTCTTGTCTCGGACATGTGTGTGTGCTACATGTCCAGTTTCAAGAGACACACAGTGAACGTGATTACCTTGAAAACCTGAATTATATAAATTTTTGATTAAAAATTAGCCGCCGTTCGGAGACAATAAACGTCAATTGTTAAAAAGGGAATGACGACAAAAAATAAGAAAAAAACACATCAACAATCAATCGCATATTCAAACGTTAAATAAAACATTAGATTGTAGTGATTTAACGATGTGTTTTTTTGCTTTGAGATTTAAAAAGAAACAAAAAACAACAACAGATTTGTCAAATTTGTAATTTAAATAAAAACTATAAAAAATGCTAATAAAGTATTCCGAGTATTGTTATTGGAGTTTCGTGTTCTGCTTAATGATTTTGCAGGTTTTTTCTTCTATCTTTTGTTTTTTTTTTGTTGTGACCGCAAAAAAATGTTTGTGTATTTTGTATCGGTGCATAACTGCCATTGAATTGCTAGGAGAATGTTGCACATTGACTTTCAATTTCTAGGTGAAGTTGAACCGGTATCTAAGTAACAATAATTGATAAGTAAACAATGGCGCTATGTTCGACCGGTTCGAATTTTTCATAATATCCAGCGTTCATTTTTTGAACTGTGATTGGTATTGGTATTTCAATATTATGTACAAAAATTGAAAACACCACTCATACATCAGCGGTGAAAATTTTGCCATGACACCAAACATAAACCTATATTTCGAATTTTCTGCAACGAGTCAAGGAGAGCCCAATGCAAATGTAGGCCTAATTTCGATTATTTCAAAAAATTTCCCTGTAGACTGAACATTTTTATTAATTAAAAAAAAAAACTGGGTAACTTATCGAGATCCCATTCAAAACATCGTATAGCCTACATTTTTTATTACTTTATTTCTTAAGTGTTTTTAGCATATCCTTAGATGTGGGTCAACATTCCACAATGTCTTCGATGTCTTTCAAAATGACAACGTTTTGATCATCGCCTTCAGACAACAGACATTATTTGTCAGAGTGTCAGATACTTTTTTACTTTGTTATTTTTTTTCCAAAAATGTATTCTTATTTTAAATCTCCAAACTCTGTAAAGAAATCCTAAAAGCCCATTTGACTGTGGCCATTGACCGTTCCACATAACAGAACCATTTGTCTACATGGAGAATGTAACACAAGAAAACCCAACAGCATTCCCATAAAGGATTGATATTGTCAAGAGTCGGTTTGGTATGGGAGAAGTTGCAGATAAACGGATACAGATGACACGATGATGAAGTTGTAGCCATAACTATGTACAACAATCACTTTTTGTAAAGTTTTTTTTTTGTACACACAAAACAGAACCCACGCAATCGACTCGTTCCGCTGTAAAACAAATTCAATATCTGCTGTCTCTCGCAAAAATGCAAAAGGAAGGAGAAAGATGTTAAATTTCTTTTAAAATCCAATTTTTCTTTTATTTTGTTGTTGTTGTTCACATTTTGTGATCTTTGCCAATTTTATTTGCTGCCACATGCAAAATATCACTCACACGCCAGAGTGGCAACTAAGAAGGCAGCCAGCCAGCCGGTCAGAAATGAAGAGGAGGCGTTGTAGATGTTTTAGCCTCCATGCTTGTCGTTTGCCGGTCGGGCATGATTGCCAATTGACCAGCCTGTGTTACTGAACGAGTGGCATGTTTGTCTTGGTGGTCACATTCATCCTCTTGGCGTGTCATGCCATTATCCAGGATTATTGGCCTTTCGTTTGTATTGTTTGCTGCATTGTTTGTTGGGTTATGTTTTTATCTTCGTGTTTTCCAAATGAAGCCAAATAAAAAACTTGTTTCAATATTTGATGTATGAATTTCATTTGTTTGTTGTAGTTGTTGTTGTTGGGATTTTATTTGCCACAAACTTTTATTTAACACTCTCTTTTAATAGTTAGCATGTGAGCAGTGTTGCCAAATAATCGATGGTAGTATTTCATTGTAAGATTATCGTTGAATATAACATCAAGAACAGAGCCTGGACAAGCTATGGTAGCAGCTCTACTTGCCCGAATACTATCAAGAAAACCCTTTTATTTTTGGAAAAAATCGGAAGGCCAGATTTGCTTTCGCAGAAGCTCATATTCATTGGAAACCGGTTCAGGGATAAATATTAAAGACCAGACAAAAAATACAGTGAGATGGCCAAAAAACTAAAGACGGAAGCATGGTTCAATAATGGTATTAGTCTATTTTTCTTTTTAATGAATTCGACTTTTAAACTAACTAAAAAGTGGGACACAATTATGTAGAAGCTTTACAGTGTCCTACATTGGCATTTGTTACGAAACCATGCCAAATAACCGACAATTCTGTTAAACATGTCATTTGGATCTTGAAAATACTTTTATATTCCATATATCGACCTATCATTTTTGGGCTACCAATAATTCGGCTCTCCCAACGTTTTCGTTCATATCATTCCTTTAGTAGAATATTTTCTTATTTCTTTAATCGGTGGCACGTTATCAGCCATGGTAACACTGCAGCAGAAACAAAGTTTCGCGTCATATCTTTAACTCCAATTGCCCGATGCATGCAAACCACAGCACCACCAACAACAACATCGACAACAATTGCCGTGAACAATTCTGCAACTCGTTTAGTGCTGTTACAACAGTCCACAGAATAGCAGAACAGCAGTGAATGTTAAGCTTGTTGTCGTTTTTCTTTTCCAATATGAGTGGCTGACTTGCATATTTTTTTATACATATCTGACAGATAGCTGCAGCAGCAGCACTTGGAACTTGGCTACAACGTGCAATCGTTCGTTTGTTCATTCGATTTTTGTTGTGTTTTGTATGAGAGATTTGAGATTCCATCGTTTCATGGGATTTTGTCTAATGCGTCGACCGCCGGCCGGCCGGCATGAAATGCACAACAGCCAGTCATGGCACTTCAATGGACTTCCAAGTATATTGCGGCAGTCAGCCGATAGCCTAGCCAGGCATTTGTGTGGGTTTTGTGTTTCTTTTAATTTCGTATCTTGTCGTACATAATGCCGAGAGATAGATAGGCATAAAAACATTGCGACCTCTCACTGAAATTATTTATAAGGAGTAGAGTGGATGGATTCCAACAGATTTGCCACCTCTCATATTTTTTTCTTTTTTTGGTTCTGTTGTTGCATTTTGGTCACGTTTATTGTTTGGAATCTGTGTGTGTGTGTGACAGTTTTTTCACTCCGACGCATTTTACAATAATAAAAATCTCCTTTAATGTCCCCTCCATAGCATTGATACATTGATAACGACCGTGTCTGTTAATGATTTGAATATAAATCAAAGTTTTAGAAAGTATCGACCATGCCATGGCTGTCCAACATTTATCGTCTGTCTAACTTGTTCAATTAATGGCAATTTTATATGAGAAAAAATATAGTTTGTGCCATTAGCTCTGCTGGACCTTGAATATTACACTCGTTCGTTGTAATCATGATTAAGGTTGTTCGGCCGGACGGAGAATATATGGCTTAAATCCAATTATTCCAATGCATACTACTGCACTGCGGTCATTACGATCGATGTGTTTGTGTGTGTGAGAGGTGTTGTAATGGCAGTGTTAATAAATATGTCGTCATTATTGTGTTGTTATTATATAAATCATCGGTAATAACGTTCGGATATTTTTACCTTATTTGTAGGTTATGTTTAGGAATACCCTTTGAACAGTACACTTGTCGACTTCATGCCATATATTCCTAATCATCTGAAGAAGATTGGTGGTAAGAATTGATCAATTCGAATCTTTGAAAATTCCGCCTTAAAAAATGTTGCCACTTCCCCAAGAATGTTCATATGGAAAATGGGATGTTTTGGATAACGTTCTGATTTCGCTCTTATATAACCGTACACTCTCAATTTTGGAGTTTTTAAGATTTTAGGCATTAACATAGACATATTTTAGAACGGAATCGGCTATACTTTGACTTTTGTGTTTTTTTCTGCGTGAAGAATTCACCGCAGAAAATTTTCAATACAGGTCCATGTTTTGACATTGCCCACAATACAATTTTTTTTTAAAGTTTGTTTGTAACGAATTAGCACATTTTTTAATACTTATTTCTAAATATTTTAAATTTAAAAACACATTATTAACTAATTATGTAATTTTCTGTATTTTTTTTCTTTTATTTTCCATTATAGCGTGTTCCACCGCTTCGAGTCGATGATTTAATCAATGATCTGCGCGATGGCACCAAGTTGATTGCACTTTTAGAAGTGCTATCCGGTGAGAAATTGCCCGTTGAAAAGGGTCGTGTTCTGAGACGTCCACATTTCCTCAGTAATGCCAACACAGCCCTGCAATTCTTGGCCAGCAAACGTATCAAGTTGGTTAATATCAATCCAGCCGATTTGGTGGATGGGAGACCACCAGTTGTCTTGGGTTTGATATGGACAATCATTTTGTACTTCCAGGTAAGTTCGCAAAAACAAAACCAAACCAAAACCCTATTAAACAAATGCACTCGAAGAAAAAAAAACAATGCACAAAATAGTTCACCTATAGAGAAAAAGTACACCTTGAATAAATCACCTATCATTGAAGGACACCCCTCATAAATAGATTTTTCTCATTCTAGAATGGCTTTTCACAGTTGATGACATCGTTCACATAACAAACAAAAAAAAAATTGAAACTAAATAATGAAATATTTAATGTCATTGTTGTTAATCTTGTATCGATGTATTTTTCTTCTTCTCTTCTCGTTATTATTATTTATTTTTTTGTATTATTTTGTTTATTGTCGTAATAATTTTTATTGCTAAATACCAAAATAGATTCGTAAAAAGAGACGGAAAAATCTATTAGTAGTTATTAATTATAAGCCACAGGTAATTTTGAACAAGTACAACAACAAGAAAAACCCGTAGTAACCCTAGTTTGTAGTCATTTAGTTTCCTGAGATACGATTTTTATTTTTTTTATTTCAGTGTAGAATTGTAGTCGTGTGTATGCGTGTGTGCAAATTATTGTTTTGTATGAAATGCACATTTCTCTTTATTTTTAGTTTTGTTGTTGTTATTTTGATTTATTTTTATGATTTTGATTACATCTCATTTGTCATTGAGTTGAACTTTTTTTAATTCAACTGCATTCCCAGTATGCCAAGGTTATCGGAGGGGTCTGTGTAGAGGTGAACAAAAATTAATATAAATATGTTGGGTTTATCTCAATAACTGCACTGGTCAGAGTACATTATCTATTGAAATATTAAGTAGTTGGCTAAATTACCAATATGGGATTGGCTTCTTTCTGAAACGGCATATTTCTCTTATATTTGGGGTGTAGCATTAACACCCCTTGCAACATTCATTCAATTAATCCATAGCACATCCAGACCGCGTTCAAGATTGGAAAAGTATTGCGACCTAATGCGATCCCATTTTCATGTTTTTTATTCTGTCGATAAGGTCCAACAATTTGCACATATCCTTTGTTAGGGTAATATGTGGATAACCCATGTCCACCATTTTGAAAAATGCACTAATTTTTAATTTTTATTCGATAATCAAGTTTGAAAATTATCCATGCCTTATGTTAATTAGGGGAAATATATTTTATTTCCCTATCAACTTCCCTGATATTCTTCTCTAGGGGGTAATTCTTTCTCGGTTTTTAACACGAACATTAGATTACTATTTTTATTGAACATCACACATGTGTTTCTGCCTAATTTTAATTTTCATTCTATTTTTTTTAAATATTTTTCATCATTTTTATTTGTGTGCCTTTTTTCTTTTGTTTAATGCGACAGCAGCACAAAGTGTACTTTGGTTTTCTTTTACAACATTTTAGAAAATGAATGTCACATATTTAGCCAGTCAAATGCTTGCGGGAAGCCTTACGAACTAACCTAAAACTTGTTCTCTACTTACCTTTTACAGATCGAAGAGAATAGCCGCAACCTTGAATATTTGGGTCATGGTATCAGTGGTTCGGTTAGTTCTCTGGACAGTGTTGGCAAGAATGCCAGCGATGTCAAGGCTGAGAAATGGAAGCAGGGTGCCCGTAAGACTTTACTTAACTGGGTAACCAATGCCTTACCAAAGTGAGTATTGAAGTCAATTGTCACGTGGCCGATGATATATAATCTTATTTTACCTTGCAGAGAAAGCGGTGTAGAGGTTAAGGATTTCGGCGCCAGTTGGAGAGATGGTGTCGCCTTCCTGGCCCTCATCGATGCCATTAAGGCCAATTTGGTTAACTTGGCTGAATTGAAGAAGACAAGCAATCGTCAACGTCTCGAAACTGCTTTCGATGTGGCCGAAAGCAAGTTGGGCATTGCGAAACTGCTTGATGCTGAGGATGTGGATGTACCAAAACCCGATGAAAAGAGTATTATGACCTATGTGGCTCAATTCTTGCACAAGTATCCCGAACCAAAGGTAATATAATGGATTTTCGATAAAATTTCTCATTCGCCAAATAATCTAAAATATATTTCCATTTTTATAGGGTGCTAACAAGGATCTGTCACATATCCATCAAGAATTGGATGAACTGAGACGTTTCTTGGTGGAGAAAACAACTGAATATGAGCCCATGGTCTTGGGCAATTCTTTCCCGCGTGATTTTGCCGAGTATCTTATTGCTCGCTCCGAGGTTGACGCCCACATACCAACCTACAATCGCTTGAAACAATTAGTGGAATCACAGAGTGGTTTCCTACAGGTACCCAAACACACCTGGGAAGATATCAACAGCCTGTGGCAACGTGTACAATATCAAATGATGTACTGGTTGTGGCTTCTGGATTCTGAACTGCCCGGTGACTTCGGCGAAGTAGGCAAATGGCTGGCCGAGGCTGAGAAAATTCTCATGGACAATGACATTCCCAATTCCATGAATGAGGAAACCGCCGCCATAATATCTCGCAAATTGGAGGAGCACAAACTCTTCTTTGCCGATTTGCCCCGTATCATTGCCATGTTCGACAATGCCAAACGTTCACCGTTGGCCCAGCAAGTACCTTTGGAGCAGCTGCGCAACATGGAGAAACGTTTGCAGGATGTAGGACCCAGAGCTAGTGAACGTAGAATTAGATTGAAATTCTTGGAGCACAAGTGCTGCCTGGTGGCCTTCTTGAACTTGGTCGAGAATAAGATGAAGGGATGGACCGGTAAATACGGCACCGAAGATAAGGTCGCGCAACAACTTGAACAGTACAAGAACTTCGTATCGCGCAACAAGATTTTCCAAGAGTTCCAAAAGGCTTTCGTCGATATGCAACAGGTGGTTGACGAATACAAACGTGACGGCAATGTGTCTCGCAAGGAAACCATTGACATTGACCGTTTCATGTACGAGACCGAGGAGAGATGGAAGCGTGTCTCCATGGAATTGAAATGTTGTCAGAACTCATTGGAAGAAGTGGTCAATTGCTGGAAGACATGGCATCAATTGGCTCCTCAGTGTGAGGAGTGGCTTCGTTTGGCCGAGCAAAAGGCTATGCAATCAGAAGATGAAAAATTGGAATTCTTCCAAGACATTTCCGTGTGGAAGGATAAATTCGATGCTCTTGCCAATGCCGCCAACTACTTGATAGCTTCTTGCGAAGAGCCCATTGCCCAAAATCTGAGACAGCACCATGGCATGTTAGCCGACCGTTTCGAACGGCTCTTTGCCAATACCAAGAAATACATGCATGCTGGTGACATCATCAGAGCCCGCCAGGAATATAAGTCCGGCATTGAAAAGTTGTCGCAATGGTTGCGCTATGCTGAAAGTGTCTTGAACCAAAAACAACAATTGGGAGACAGTGAGGCCATTCGCAAATATGGCGATGAGTTGCAAAAACTCGCCTCAGAAATCGATGACAATGAGGAGTTGTTCAAGACGATTAGTCGCAACATCCAAGGCATGATCCAAGATCTGTCACGTGAAGAAGTCGACAGTATGATGAAGACCTTGAAGCAAGAGAAGGAGGCTCTGGTACGCATTAGGGCCCAAATTCCCAGCAAGCTTCATTTGATCCATCAACTGCTTATCCAGCAAGAATCTTTGGAAGCTGGTCAAAAGGAAATCCATCAGTGGCTAAACGAAGCAGAATCGTTGCTTGGCACCCACACCTTGGCCGGTGGCCGTGACAAGATCAACGAAGAGTTGACAAAACATAAGACCTTCTTCTCACGCACCGTCTACTATCGTTCGATGTTGGAGAGCAAGAACAAAGTCTTCCAGAATCTTTTGAGGAATGTTGTCCAGGATGAGAACATCGATACCACTCAAGCCCAACACAACATGCAACAGTTGAACGATCGTTTCAACTACGTCATCAACAATTCCCAACAATGGGAGCAGCGATTGACGGATTCCCTCAACTCATGGAATCGCTACAAAGACAACGAGAGAGTCGTTACGGAATGGTTGACCCAGGCCGAAACTATACTCATTGAAAAGCACATTGAGACCAAGACCACAATTGAGACCCAGAAGTACTTCTTTGAAAATGTTAACCAAAGATGGATGCCTGATTTGGTAGACTCCGCACAAGACTTGTTGAAAACACTGCCAACTCAGGAACAAAAACCTGTGGTTGATTCTGTTGAACAACTACAGAACCGCTGGCAAAATGTTTTGGGCCAGGCTCCATTGCATCTCATGAAACTGGAATTCCGTTCGGATGAACAAGCTTTCCAGCAGACCATGCAGGAGGTCGAAAAAGAATTGCATTTGGAAGAACAAGCCCTCAATCGTAATGAGGATGTCGATTCAATTTTGAAGCGCAATCAGCAATACTTCCTGCAGTCTGGCTGCCTACCCCGTTTGGAGAAATCCTTACAAAATATGCATCGCTTGGGCCAGGCCTACAAGCAGCAGAAACCGGGAGACAGCAGTCTCGAGAATGCCTACAAGAATGCTCACTCTCAATACACCCACCTCACCAACAAAATCGCCTCAATGCGTGAGACCTTACAGCAAATTCCCGCTCAATGGGAATCCTACCATGACAAGTTCACCGAAATGGTCGAATGGATGGACACCGTGGACAGGAGTTTGAAGAACATTGTCAACGAGGTGAACAGTATGGAAGAATTCGAAAAGGAAAAAGTTGTTTTCCAGGTAAGTTCCGCTAATAATGAAATAATATTAAGCAGACGTCTTAAGCTCCCATAACTAATACTCACATTTCCATTTAATTAACACATGCAGCTCAGGGAACTTGTGGTAAATGATGAAAAGCTTTTAAATTCAATATCATATTTCGTTGTCATAAATTGTTGTACACATTGTTGTTATTTTTATTAACAATCTTCCCTTTCGTTCTTTAGAAAATATGCCAAGAAGCCGACAATAAACGTGAGGATATGAAGTGGTTGGTCAAGACTTTAGATCACCTCCTTAGCTATGCCACTGAGGATGAGGCCAATGCCGAACAAAAGAAATTGGAAGACCTTATCGCCCGTTACAAGAACCTCATACCAACCATTGAGATCACCATGGTCAAGACAGAGGTGTTCTCCAAATGCTACACATATAGACGTGAGGTCCATGAAGTCGTATGTCTTCTCAGCAAGGTCAAGGAGCAGGCTGCCAGTATACCACCACCCGACAGCTTGGAACGTGTCAACAAACTCATTGAAGAACAACAATATGCCATTAACCAATTGGATCATCAACGTCCTCACATTATGTCCATGCTACAGAGAGGTCGTGATTTGAGCAAAGATGTCCATGCCCCATCCTTTGTCCAGGTCGAAGTTAAGAACTTGGAAACCGGCTGGAATGAAGCTTACACAGAAACTTCTGATAAGTTGCAGGCATTGAAAGGTACACAAGCTGTTTGGAATGACTTTTCCGATCAGAAGGCAGAAATTTGCCACCTCTTGCAAATGGCTGAGACCGAATTGCGTGCCCTCACTCCTCTGCAAACGGATCCCAAGAACGTTAGTCAAGATTTGAAGGCTAAACGTGAATTGAATGCCCAATTGCAACAAGCTTCCCATCAATTGTTGCCAAAGTTGCACGCCCTCAAGGCTGAGCTGGCTCCTTTGGCTGCCGCCGAAAAGAGACCAATCCTGGAGAAGGAAGTCACCGAAGTCGAAAAGATGTTCTTCAATACAATGGAACATGTTAAGGACCGCGTCGGCTACTTGGAGGATTATAGTGCTAAATGGAATAACTACAAGTCCCGTTTGGCTGCTTTGCAAGAATGGGCCAACAAGGTAGCCCCCAAGGCCATCGAAGCTTTGCACTCTGAGGATTTGACACCCGAGGAACGTGTAATGAAGGTCAACGCCTTCAAGGCCGTTTTGGGCGATCGCATGAAAGAGCTGGACATCTTGGCCGCTGATGCTTCCGAATTGGCGCCCAAGGAGGGCAACATTGCCGAGGCCAAACGTCTCAAGGGAGAAATCACCAAACTGCAAGAAGTTCTCAGTGCCATTAACCGCAACGTGGATCACCAAGCCCAGGCTGTCAAGGAAGACCTTGTCAATTGGCAACAATTCCAGACTGGCCTGCAACACCTGAAGCCCATCGTCGAGGAATGCGAAATCAAGGTAAATAACATAGTCCCTAAGCCATTGTCCCTTGAGGAAGCTGTTGCTCTGCAACAGAATGCCTTACAATTTGAAAATCATTGCTTGGAGCAATTAGACCGTCTCCAAGGCATTTCGAACATTACACACAAAATGTTATGCAAAACCAATGCCCCCGATGAAGTAGATGCCATGCATTCCCGTTGGACGTCCGTGCATGAAAATGCCAAACAGGCTAGCGCTAAGTTAGAAAAACTCGTCGCCAACTGGAAGTCCTTCGAAAACGAAGCTGGCAAATTGGAGGACTGGGTGGAGAAGGGCGAACAAATGGTGGCCCGTAAGCCCAGTATCCTCAATACGCCGCACATTGACAAGTTGGAGAATGAATTGGTACGTCTAAAGTCTTTCAATAATGAAATTTCCGAACAACAAGCCAAACTGGTTGCCTTAGGCCAAGCTGCCGACCAGATCAGTATACATTTAGCTCCTGAGGGTGCTGTAGCCGTTAAAGACCGTGTAAGTGGTTTAAAGGGTAAGCTGCAAAAGCTTTCCGAAGCTACTCGCGCCAACATCAATGAAATCTCTGATGCCATCATTGCCCGTCAAGATTTCAATGCAAAAATGGTTAACTTCTCCAATTGGATGGATTCTCTGAGGTCCCAGGTGGCCCAAGTAGAAGAAATCAATCCAGAACGTGTAGAAACTAGTTTGCATGTCATCCACGCCCTGCTGCAAGAACACAATGACAAGAAGCCTGCATTTAATGCCATCTACGACGAAGTCAAGCAATTGTCGTTGGCTGCCTCTCCGGAGGAAAGCAAGAGCCTCAATGAAGCCTATTCCGCATTGGTGGTTAATTATCAGAATCTCGAAACAAATATGCAACAAAAGAAGTCCAGCTTGGAGAAATGGACGGAATTGTTGAACTGGAAACATGAGTCGGAGAACCACTTGAACTACCTCAAACACCAGATTGAGAAGCCCGATGCTCCTCAATCACAGGACCTGAACAAGATAATGTCCGAAATAGAAACTATTGCCAAAACAGTGCCTTATTGGAAGACTCAAGCCAAGGAAATCGATGAGAATCCTGTCATCCATCTCAAAGATGCTCTGACCCGCAAACCGTACATTGCCACCCAGATTGTGAATGACATAGAAAACAAATTGGAGAATTTACAGTTGCGCACCCAAAACCAAAAGCAACAAATCGAACAAATGCAAGTCCGCAAGGATAAATTCCATACGTTGGAGAACAATTTGGGCCAAGCCTTGCAGGAGAACCGAGCCAAGTTGGCTGATATACTGAATCGTAAGCCGAACTTGGAGAATATCGATCAAATCATTTGTGACTTGGTAGCTCTGAATGATGCCCTCAAGGTCCAATCAGATCTGAAGAATCGCATTCATGACGAGGGTAGTCAACTAATGCGTGAGGACATTGCCAGTATGCCTGCCATTCAAGAGACTCTCTTGCATTTGGACAAAGACTACGACTCCCTGCAAGGAGAAATTGCCGAGCGCATACAGAAATACCAATTGATCTCGCAGGCCTTGAGGGAATTCGCCGATTGCAAGAATAAGTTCAGCCAAGAACTGAAGAAGGCTCAAGATCTCTATCACTCGATTCCCCAACAACCCAGAGACGAAGTGGAATTGCACCAAGCCTCTGAAAAGACACGCAAAACCATGGATCAGGTACGCAAGACCAAGGTGGTTCTAGATGAACTGGACCGTAAGGTGGCCAATGTTGGAAAATTGTTTGACAACATTGGTGAGGTTATGCCTCAGGACATACCCAAGGACTTTGCCGAGGCCAAACAGAAGTGGCAAGAATTGCATGACAAGACCGTTAAGAATGCCCACATGTATGAAACCGAAGCTATTATTTGGTCTCAAATTGAGGATGCCAAAAAGGACCTCGTCCCGTGGTTGACAGAAACCAACCAGGGATTGTGTGACGCCGCCGATAATAGTATGGAAATTGAATTTGCTCCCATGCGTCTCACGAAATATCGTTCTGAATTGCCCTCGTACCAGGCATTGAAGGATACCATTGCTGAGAAATCCACCGAACTTCTGAAGATCAACAATAATGTCGAAATACCCGCCTTAACTGCACTCAATGAGCTATTGGATGCTCAGTTCCAGGAAGTCGAGTCGAACGCAGAACGTCTAAACAACATTACGGCTCAATTTAACGATCAGGAACAAGAGCTGCGCAAGAATATCAAACAAGCCGGTGAAAATGTAGCCAAACTCAGGGAACAACTGATCAAATGCGATGATATGTCCGGCGATAATGCCAAGATCTTGGAACGCCTACAACAGTGCAGAGCTTTACAAAGTCAGCTAAGTCAAACTGGCAACGATATTGACAATATTAAACAAAAGGTCGAAGAGCTGCGCATCCTCTATCCCACTTTCAGTGAATCCATAATTCCCAAAGAACTCAACAACGTCCAGAAGAGATACGAAGGCGTAGAAGTCTATGCCAAGAAAATTGAAAACTCTCTGTTGCAGTTTCTTAAGAAGTTCCATGCCGATCGCGTCAACATGTTGAAGCGTATCATCCAAACCCAAAAGGAGAAGGTCAATTGGTGCCAACCCGAGAGCACTTCTGACAAGTACAACTTGGATGTCAAGAAATCGTCACTCCAAGAAGTCGGCAAAGCTTTGGATGATTGCAAAAAACGCCAGGCGGACATTGCTAATTCCCTGGAAATGTTGAAGGCCATTGAGACGCCACAGAACATGGCTGAGCTCGTCAAGGACTCCGAACTTCTGAATGCTGAAATGGGCGATCTGCAAAAAGCCTTCGATCAAATTAAAGACATTCTCGACGAAAATGTTGATCTGTGGACCCAATACGAAAAATCCAATGAAGAGCTCAACACATGGTTGCGAGACATTGAAGGTCGCATTAAAGCCGAGACAAGCAATCAGATCGACTTGAATAATATTCCACAGAAGATTGAAGAACTCATGCTGCTGAAACAGGACGTTGACAATCACGAACCCGTGATTAATAACTTGGAAAAGACCTCTCAGCAGTTGATTAATAAGAACCCTGAAGCTCGCATTGGCCAATTTGTAACACATTTGGTACAGCGTTACCAGACAGTGGGCAAGGGTCTGCAACAGTACATGGATAAGTTGAGGGACGCCTCAAAGGCCAACGACGAATATAATCGTGCTCTCAACGAAGCCACAGAATGGTTGGGCGAGGCTAAGATTGAATTCCAAGAACTAGCCCGAATGGGTTCGCCCGGTTCTTCATCAGCCACTGCCCAACAATTGCAAACCATTAAAAATTACTTGAATACCTTCGACAATGGCCAAGCCATCCTTAACAATGTGGTCGATCTGGGTGAGTCGTTGTATCCCACTGTGACACCCGAAAACAGAGAAAAGATCCGCGCCCAATTGCGAAACCTTAGAGAAAACTTCGACTACTTGAGAGACGAAGCCAATGCTCTCCTGCAACAGGTGGAGGGTGTCCTCATTCAAAAGACCACAATCGAGGAAAGTTACGCCCAAGTCTCGCATTACCTCAACGAGTCCAAGGCCAAGGTCTTGAAGGCTGATGAACTCTATCCCACATTGGCTGCCAAGAAAGCGGCTCTACAAAATTACAAGATCCAATTGCAAGAAGCCACCCTGCATAGGAATGCTTTGAAACAATTGCAGGAACGTGCAGTGGCCCTTTGCGATGATGAATCCGAACGTAAGACGGAAGAGTCAATCAATGAATATACCGATTTGGCCAAGAAAATCACAGACCGCATTAATGTTGTCACCAACCAAGTAGCCAAACATGAAGCTTACGACCAGGTCTTGGAGAAGGCACAAGATTGGCTGAACACCATCAAATCGGAAGCCATAGACATATTGAACGAGACTACCTTCGAAAAGGAGGGAGCCGAGGAGAAACTGTTGGTTGTAGAGAATCTATTGCAGCACAAACCTGAAGGCGATACAATTTTCGAAACCTGCCAACAACTCCTGAATACAGTGCTTTCCCAGACACATCCATCCGGCCATCCAGCCCTCCTGAAGAGCTTCCAGGAACCCAAACAGGCCTGGGATGATTTCATGATGCTGTGCCAAGACTCACAAGTCAAGCTTAGACAACTTTGCTCTAAGTGGGATGAATTCGAGACTGTGATCGATGAGCTGGACAACTGGATGAAGAATGTTGAGGCCATTGTTAAGAATCAGGCACTGAAGAACACTGCCGAAGCCAAGAAGGCACATCTTCAACAACTTCTCAACATTTCTCAGGACATTGAGAAGCGGGCTAAATCCATTAATGACTTGATGGACCAAGGTCGCGAAATTGAAGGAGATACCGACTTGAACCTGAAATTGTCCCGCCTCAATACAAGGTATCAAACATTGAAAAATCTGTGCAAGGAATCGGTTGCCAAATACCAGAACTATGTTAAGGACCACGAAGCCTTCGATCAAGATTATGAGAAATTCAAAACTGATTTGCAATCCTGTATTGATGAATTGGAGAAGAACAAGGACATTGTGGGCGACCAAGCCATACTGCAAGAGCGCCAAAATAAGTTGCGCGACATGTCCGACAAGAGAATCAACGATAGTACAGCCTTTGAGAATCTCATTGACCGTGGTGAGAAACTCTATGGTCACACCAGCCCCGATGGTCGTGAAATCATTAGACAACAACTCAGAAATCTACGCACCATGTGGGACAATTACACCGATGACTTGAATCAAGCCTCACAAAAGATTGACCACTGCCTATTGCAATTCAACGACTTCTCCATTGCCCAAGACCAGTTGACCAAATGGCTCAAGGATGTTGACAAGGCCATGCAATCGCACACCGAACCCAAGACTACCTTGCAGGAGAAGAGAGCTCAATTGCAGAACCACAAATTGTTGCATCAAGAAATCACCACCCACAATGTCCTGGTGGACAATGTGTGCGACAAGGCCCAAGTTCTGGTCGACCAGATCAAGGACAATTCGCTCAATGTTTACTTGCAATC